CGCTTTGACAAACGCTTTTGTTGGTTACTTCAGATGTAGATAATGATAATACACTTCGTGAATGTGCATTGACAAGACTTACATTCAAACGATTGATATAAATTGTTGACAAAGATAGGTCATGGCTGCACTGACGCAAATTTATGAGAGGTAGGTACCGCTTACTGCAACCTTAGGTATATCAATTTTATCAATTGGTACTTCATGTCGTCATGTCAAGAGAAATATGACGTAGAACCTCAATACTGAACCAGAGATCATTAATGGGACCATTCAGTCAAACGTGAATTAAAAAAAAATGTTTACAATTCACGAAAATATGAAGTATTCACAAAACCGTAAATAAGTGATATTATTAAAAAAATCAGTAATATATTAATAATACACAATATTAAACAGTTCTTACTTTTTATGGTTTTTGGAGTTGTTTTTATTTAATTATTGAGCTGTGACATACAAATTGATGTTAACATTACAAAGCAAAATGAAACGTAAAGTAGGTTGGTAGGTATACTCGTACCTCAACGATATATTTTGTCCAGATATTTTGATAAAAAATAAACTGCCGATCCGATTAGAATGAAGTATTTATGGAACTATCTTCTGGGATACCTTATTCAATAAAAGAAGAATTAATTTCTTATATTTTCACGCGCACTATCCATAAATAAAATAACTTTTAAACGGTTTCATCGCGTTTATATTTAATTTAATTGACATTTCGTTCATTTCGTACAAACGCGATGAATCCGTTTAACAGTAGTTTCATTTAAAATAAGAATTATCAAAATTGGACTGCATTGTAAAAACATTCGTGTCAAATAGAGAACGTCTTTTGTTTGTTGTCAGCTAAAAATATCGCGGAACATTCAAAGGACATTTAGTCGTAATGAGAATTTCTTCTTAACAAAAATTATTGAAGTCATTCTTAATGATAATTACCTTTCGCCATCCCATCTCAGATAACCAGGAACAAAATGGATTTTTAAACATAGTATAGCATTGTGAATGCAAATATAATAAATATTTGTAATCAGTTAACATAATTTATCTCGACCAGGAGTATAGCCAACAGCACATGAAGTACCCTTTTAAATATAACAAACAACAATAATATATTGCAACCATTCTGTTGACAACCCTAAATAAACCAATGACGAGAGTGCGGAAATTACCCACGCAAAACCAAATGTTTCTCCGTCAAAATTCTATTCCTGTGTCTGTTTAAATAATATTTTGTAGTATTTAATTATCATTTTAATTTTAGGTAAGTCACTTTGAGGCCACATATCACGACCAAGGATGAAGGTACCAGAAATGGAGCGAATAACACGTGAGTTGGTGATCAAACAAAAGCAAAATTACAATCTTCACACAAATTCAAATCTTACTACATAAATGATAAACGCTTTTATGCTTTGTACGTTGTTTTCTGAACAAAATCCTTAGATCTTGGCACTCTCCACTCCTTTGAGAATTTCTTAAAGAAATGACAAGCTATTGGTATTTACTCTGTTTAGGGCTGCTTTTAAATTACATTATTATCTATTAAGGTAGATTTATTGTTTTGATTTTGCAAATAAAATCAAAGCTATGTGACATAACTTTTCCTATACCAAATCCATAAGGAAAATTTATAATAAGATTTTCATAAAGATCAGTATTTTTAATACGCTACCCTTTTTATTTTTATGAAGACACTATACATTATATATAGGGAATGAAAATTTATAAGGAATTTCATCAATTTCAAATATAAATCTATAAAAGAAATATGAATTATATCGAATTTATAAGGAATTTCTACAATTTCAAACACAAATCCATAAGAGAAATATTTATTATACCGTGCTTTTTATATGTACGATAAAATAAATATTTGCATTAGCGTTTTTGGATAAATGCTTTGCTGCCCAAATTATACCACTTTTAGGACAATACAGTGCTTGTAGTCAAACGAGTTACTGAAAAATGTTCAGTAACTTGCCCCAGGTTGACAATATCACTTATATCTTGCAAGAAGTCCATAGTAAAAATTTCGATAATTTTAGAGCACATGCTTGCACTTTCCGCAACTGTTTAGAAAGTACGTTCGATGGAAACATACATAATATTTTTTCTCGTGACATATACCAAGGTGTAACCGTGAGAAAAGCTGTCGCTAATGGTTGGTTATGCATAATTCAAATGAAGTGTGCATTTGTATAATAAAAACAAAACAATGTTACAACAGTGGTTGAGTTACAACAAAATTTGAGACGGAGCACGCGCTATAATTCAATAATCATTGTATTCTAAGAGATTCTCTAAGAAACTTTAGATATACAATTTACGAGTCACACATTGTAGTTTTATGTTGATTTAAAATAACCTAAAAATTTGGGATGTCACAAACGATCTCTACATTTTCAACGATATTGCTCATTGAATAAATAAAATATATAATTTTTCAGTAGACATTTCGGTTCTTTTATATAGGTTCGTATTTGTCTGAAAATGTAATATTTTATCAAAAATACTTGCGACATTTTAATAAAACAACCGTTACTTGTTTTAAGTCTTTACATTTCATTGTCTACGTATACCTTTAGATACGAAGATTGGATTTCATAATAATAAATATTTAAATAAATATCTAACAACATCACATACATTGCTCAGATTCCAAGATGAGTAGCTAAAGCCCCCGTATTATGGAGTATCTGAGACAACGAAGGAACCATAACACCCAGACTCGAAACAATATAGAAAAGTTCATTTTCTACATTGACCCAACCGGGAATCGACCCGGGACCTCAGAGATGGCGACACCTTGAAACCGGCGTGCGAACCACTCGGCTACGGAGGTCGTCCGAAGTCCTCCGAATATTATCATTGGTTATCATAATAATGGAATAATAAAATAATACATATTAAATCTTATGGAACATTCAAATAACATCAGTTATAAGGTAAGCAATAAGGCAGTTTGCAGAAAATTAAAGCCATTTCTATATATTTTTGCGAAAAACATAACTAAATATATATTGATTTCTTTAGGAAATTAAAACCTTGAAATTAAAGTATTACCGGAAAATTGTTGTGTTACTTTGTTGGTACGAGTACTTAGATAGATATCAGAAATTAGGCGAATCTGCAAAACTTTTAATCTCAATCGATTAATGTGTTCGGAAGACCTCAGCCCATCTGCTATTAGTTAACGTATTACTATGAAAATGAACGATTTTCGATCGATTTCCTAAATCCTTGATGTTATCGTTACATGCAAAAAGTTACAGTAATGCAAAAAGGCTTAAAGCTCATTTCAACATTTTCGTGGTGAGCTTCGGAAACTCTTTGATATTGGTGATATTGTTACAAACGATAAAGGACTTTATCGATCAGTAGTTAAAATAGCTAGTCGTGCTGTGATCCCGTGAGGCGTGGCCCGGATTTATCGCGGGCTGTTAGTAGAGCCGCGTATTTATATTAAGTGGGGGAGCTGTCAGCGCCTACGCCGACGTTGGCTCTGGATGGCTGCATACAACAATGTTTCCAAGATTCTAGAAAATCCTCAACTGATAGTGTTAAAACCAATTAGATTACCCTTACAGCGTATGTAATCTAGTTTCATATAAAAATTCGTCTGAAAATGAAAAAGTTAACTGCAGCAGTGTCAACACAATAGTAGTCATATTAATAAATACCAATTGTCGTACAGTGATTAAATTTGTCTAAGATTTATAAAAGTATAAATTACAAATTGTTAATTTCTATAACAGTAACCCAATTATGATTATTATTTTTAACATTCATTAAGGTTATAGCCAAATAATTTTATAAACCAATAATTTTAACTGTTAGGCGTAACTATAAAATATAAACATTTAGTGCTCCTTCTCCATATAAACTTTTACTATTCCAAATTTCATACTCTTCCAATAGTGTATTTTTTAAGTGGTTCACGTACCTACCTATTGATATAATGACAATGCCAATACATAATACGTATAACAGCTATAAGTAAACCTATAAAAATTGAGAAATGGAGTGTGTAGTTATATCTAAAGAATATTGTCGCTAATATATTTGGAAACATCTACATCCACGCTAAATCGATATTCTAATAGAACCAGAGTTAATCTTAATATTATATACAATAAATATGACAACAATACATTATCATATATCATTCGAGAATATTAAAACTAATAGATGATTGAAATGATAAACAACGTGACATAACAGATTAATAGTGAACTGATAGATGACTGTTTTGTTACAACAATTTATCTGATTAAAAGACTAATTTTAAACACTCGAGCTTGTGTCCCCTGGTACAGAAATATCCGTCGTTGATTTAGATATAATAAAAATGCTGAAATTGAGCCAATTCTCATAATTATATGAGTACGCATTACGTTCTGACTTTTAATAAAAAAGTGAAAAAAAGCAATATCAATAAGTGCGCATTCATATCATCTAATCCCGCCTTTGTGGAGAAAATAAATAGTTATGTAGATTTTAAACAAAGCATTCGTCGGTGACAGCGAAGAGCCATTTACGTCTTAATAAATTGTATGATAGCATGACAAATGAAATTCCGTAGACAAATTCACAAAGCGAGTAACGAAAGCGGAAAATAGCAATATCTATCTGGTTTATTCATGTAAAGGCCGCGACGACACTTAGCTCTTTCGGCTAGATCGTCCAACTAATAATACGCCCGCACGTGAAATGTTTTGGCTGGTGCTTTTTGTTCGCCAGTTATTTCAGTTTTCCAGTAGGATTTTATACAAGACCTGCTCTGGCCGCTTTCACGGCGCAGCGGTCTTGGCTTTGAAAAAAAACGGTGATAATCACGAGTTGTGCTTCTAGCTACGATGGATGTCCCAAGAGGCACAGAACGACGACTCGATAAGGAATTTTAAAAACGTTTTGTGACGATAAGTGTTCAGGGGTTCAGTGTAGTGTATTCAAGTGATATTTTCAAAGTGTTGTGATTGATAAATTGGTTAACGATGACGGAGTTCTTTGGACCATGGAGTGGAAAAGACGACGATGGAGATGTGGAGACAGTGGAAGAAACCGTGGAGGAGACGATCACCACCACGAAAAAGTTACGTCCGTTTGTGGTAAGATTCAATGGATCATTCTTGTAGTTCTATAATATAGTCATACGACAATTTGTGAGGAAAAGCCCTCTTAGCAGAAAAGATGGATAGACATTACATTACATTACCTTTTATTTAATATCAATATGTCGAACCAAGTAAAATCACTCGTAAAATGAGATTTAAGAAAAGATTTCTGCATACTGGTAATACGGAATTATATATAGGTACTTTTGTGCTATACATAGGTAGTGATTAAAATAGGTTCGGAATTATTGTCATGTTATGGTTTGAATAAATATCTCCAATGTCAAGATGACATTACCCTTAAATCGATCATTATAAACCAGAGTTTACGACTCTAGGACTGGTTTTTCCTCAAATGACAGTGAAATATCAATTTTAGAAGATTCCTTTAGAAGATTGGAAAGTTTTTGTACGTCTGGAAGTATTTTTATTACTCGTGTATCATCGTTAGATGTGTTTATTTTGGCCGAAGCACACCGAGTGTCACGGGCGTTGTCAATGTTCACTCTGTGAGATGAAACAGCACTCGAAGCAAGGTGAAGGCGAACCTGGCCGCTGCCGGGAGCCATTAACTGTCCACTTTATTATAATACCAATTGACGCGACAATCTTTAAAACGTTCTAGATTACAAATATCCAGTGATTTTGATTTTGTCAGATAAATCAAAAACATTTCAATAAAATACAGAGATAAATATAAGTTTTCGGTATCCATGCCGTTGTTATTCCGGATATTTCAACACCCAAATACCAATCTTCATCTAGCTGTCATTCCAATACAGTTTCAGTGAAGCAAATGTTATTTTGGTGACCACGTAATAAATTCTAGTAATGCTTTAACGATCCAGATGTCTTGTAAATAATTTAGTTGGCTTATTTTAAAGGTTTTAATTGCGTACAAAATGCCGTTTTGTTAAGATTTTTTGGCGCAGTATATAATATGAAACCATGTGTTTCATCTTCGCTAACTTTACGCACCATTTATTATAAGTGTTTCATGAAAAGACCATTAAAATTAATTAAAACATTGTTTACGTCTGTCATCAGTTGTTATTGTGTTGTATTATGATTCTAAGGTCTGCTTCAAAATCTTATATTATTGAATATAACTTGATTCATGATAATATTTATTATATATAATAACTTACAATTCAAGCAGTAATATATAAATATTTGTTATTTTCATTGTTTTTTAATGTCATAGCTTACATACTATTACATTGTACAACTATGTAAGTACATTAAAATAATGTCACAAATCTAAAATTACCCCCATTGGGCTATTCTTTGGGAGTGAAAAAGAACCTAATAATTAAGATCAAATTTAAGAATAGACTAATAAAGCTCTCTCAATTAGGAACATGATTTTAGACGTGTTTTAAACAATAATACAATAATAATACCGTGGGATTATATAAATATATCTCTCAGGGGCAGCCTAGTCTTCAGTCAGACACCAAGCAAAGGCTAAAATCAGTATTCCTTATAGATGATAGGGGTAACAATCCTGAAAGTTTAGGACCACTGAACTAAGATAAGATAATTATGTCGTAATACTTTTTATAAAAATCCGTAGGTGGTCCACTCTTGTTGGTGGAATCGAAATCGGTGCATATCATCGCATACAATGAATTAATAAAATTTCGCAATCTAAACGTCCCTTATATTAAAACGGTCGTGACGGAAAGGCGTGACACAAGCTCGTGTGTCGTGCTACAAATGCAGCTTACGGCAAAATCAGTAAGTCGATTCTATTCAGTATCAAAACTCTTATTACGAAACAATAAAGTTGGAAACGCACCATAAATATGTTGCGAGTGAATGGCCCTTTGTCTGACACACAATAGCGTCGTGCATGAATATTACTTGATATACCCATCTTCTTCAAATCGACGGAACACACATAATAACCGTGAAGAAACTACTATAGTTTCACCTCTTTGTTCATTGGTAAAAGCTGTTAAAAACACTGCTCATACGGTAATTAAATTGTGGGAAATTCGGTTATCTTTCAACATATCGCGTGTAGAGACTTTGACGAATTGCTTTTGTGGTTCGCAATTCTTTATTATGACTTCTTTATTCGAAGAATATAAAAAAAAAATTAAAGAACAAGCACATTTATTTACATTACATCTTTTTAATATTGAATTTTAAAACATTTGTTTAACGTAAATAATTTATTTTAAGATTTGTATCGAATTGATTTTATTTATGTAATATTGCTAGGTGACTCATTAACTAACTAATCAGTCACAGTGCTAGAAATAAAATGAAATTATTAGACTACAGAAAAAGCACCGAATTTTTATATAGAATAACAATAAAACACGTACCACAAGGAAGCAATGTAGGTCCTTTTTATTTTATATAGTATTTCATTATAAATTAATGTTCTTTTCCGACAAATTTGGCATCACAGTATATAAATATTCTTATTAAAAATAGATCCACTAAGATTTTAGTTAACTAACATAGGCTTTATAATAAAGCGATCTGTGGCGGTAGATTATAAAAACAAATATAAGACAAAACGATACCGACATTATTCATGATATTAAAGATATAAACATAGTAGTATTGAAATGAAGGCTTGAAGCCTTCACTAACACCAACAATAAAGGAAACCTAAAAACACTACAAATGTTGAAACTTGCAAACATCTAAATTGGCTTGTACTATTCTGAAACATTGTTTTCATACCAACCAATACTGTGCTACTGCATGATTCATTTGGGGTTATTCCACTTTTCATATTTAGTTATTAGAGCTTCCTTGAGACTGTGTTGTCAACTTAATTTTATATTTTAAATCCTTAATTTATTGTAACTAAATTTAAGTATTTATGATTAAAGAGGAATGTTATATTAAATTTCATTTAACATTTCTCTTTAAACATAAAAACTTAAATTTCAGAATTTATTAAAAATAAATTAAAAAATAATAAAAAGAAATCAATTAAAAATATTGTCCCTATCTGCCTCATTGTGGTCGTCAATGAGATAGATTGTAGAGATAGATGATGGCGAATTATGTGAAAAAAACGATTTGTAACTACTCGCAAACCATTATTGTTATTGGCAAAATGTTGTACATAGCCCTAGGTTACAAAATGAGTTACATGTTAATCAATAAACTTTTTAAAAAGAATAAATTACCAGGAAAACAGAAATAATTTAGAATTTTATAGGTTTTTAACACGATTTTTGAGTTCGTCTGTGACAAAACCCTTAAAAATATGCTGTCATTATTATTAACTACAGCTTATTTCAACTTACAATACTAATTATGTTCGGTGTACACTTTTACTTTAAACCATGACCAAAGTTATAGCTATCAGTTATCCATTTCAATTGATATGTTCGGCCATACTTTTATAATGGCATTTTTTATTACAATTTATTTACTGTGAGTTCGGTTATTTTAGTTCTTATTTATGATTTATATAAAATTTTGTTTAATAAAAATATACAGGTATGCTAAATGCATAGATAAATTTAGTTAAGCATATTGTATAACTAAATGAAACTAAAATGAGTTAATCAATATAAAATGAATAGTGCTTTAAAACCGTATGTAAGGAAAGAAAGAGCTTAATGCACCTTTGTCTGTTTACGGTTGCCAGGAAATGACCTCGTGTTGGCATAATGCCAACTCTTTTACACTCACCAAATATAAAAGAAACAACACACCTTCAAGCGTGCCTCAAACACCTTGATGTCTAGCCCTTATTAACAGAATAATCATAATCAGAACGAAAAACAATATTTTGAATTAGGGCTCGCACAAAAGGTTGACGACAACTGACTTGTATAGTCACGAAGGCATATATTAAGTAGGGTGTGTAAGTCTTGTCCACTTTACAGAGTTCAAAGACTTTTCATAAAAGGCGACATTTGAGTCATTTTACTTTAATAATTTTAAATTTACCTTTGATGATGATGATATCTGTCTTTCTTTTTTTTTGAAGTTGAGAAATGCCATACGCATATCCGCTCACACCCCAGACTGGGGCTTGTCAAATACCCACTACAACTTAGTGATATTCTTGTCCATGTAGCCGAAGCACGTGGACATCCCGAATACGATCACGAAGGAACATCCGCAGTGTAGTGCCCTTCCATCTGAGTAATTTCATGCCTTTATGATTGATGTTTTATTAATAGATTAAATAATCACAAATAATACTCATCACAGCTTTGCTATTCTGTATAAATACAGCGTTGAACACTCCGCTGTGGCAGCATTAAATTCGATAAAAATCCATTATTACCCCTATTACCCATATTCTTTAAAAATTGCAATCCTTTATTAGAAGTAAATTTTATTCGATTGAACCTCTAATGCATTGACAGATCTGTGTTCGCTATATATTTAACAGAATAGGACTGGTGTTCTAATTACTAATTGTGACTAATTACTGCTGATGCTTAATATTAGTAGAAGATATTATCGCAATCGCATCAGTTCAACTTGTTCATTGCCAAATAAAACAACGTTTAAAAGCTTTACATCATAGCATTACCTACGTAACACACAAAAAAGACAATACATTACGTATTCGAGACACAAATACCAGTGGCGTAAATACGTAGTTATGCACTTTGTGAAAAAAAAGTTAGTGTAAAAACTTTCAATTTTGAACTTTAAAACAACCGAAATTGTTCCAAACGGCGGCGTTTCATGGTTCAAATTCGATGACAGCTGACGAAGGTGCTAATTGCTACAGTCTATGTGAAAGAATTAAATACAATCAGTGAGCCAAGTGTTTGCAAACAACTAATTGAATATTATAGTCGTGACGTAGGAAAATAAAAAGAAACTATTATCCGTGGTGGAGTGGCGCCGACTGAGGTGGCAATAAACTAGATCATGAAGACGTTTAGTGATGTTGGGAGTTTGTCATATTGCCGATCATTTTATAGTCGACAGGCGGTTATACACATTTCTAAAATTCTTCTTAAACTCCTAATGCGTTAAAAGTATAAATAAGA